AATGTTACTGCTTCGGATTCTTTCTCTCGAAGTTTTTGTTGTAAAAAACTTTTATCTACAAAATCTCGTTTTAATATTTCTATAAGTTCATATTTACGTTTAATATCCAATTTTAATGTCTCAAGTTGTGTTCTTAATGCTACAACTAAACTCTTTTCACTTTGTAAATTTTGAATAGTATCAGATTTACTAGTCAATTCTTCTTGTAAAGCAATTAATTTTTCCTCAAGCATTTCTATTGATTTTTGCGTAGGATCAACAATATTTAAAGTATCAAAAATTGGAACGTGTTGAGCTTCTTTAGCATTAATTAATTGTGCCTCAAGATCTCTGATTTTTTCTTCAAGTAATTCCATATTTTCATCAACATTTTGTTCTAGCTTATCAGATGATGTTTCATCAGGAGATTTTATTGAAACTGTCAGATTATAGTTTCTACGATACACAACAGGTTCGGAAATTTTGAATAATTTATTACTTTTTTCCTCTAAAGCATGACGATGAACTTGTCTTGCTTCATTTAATTGTTCTTCGAGTTCTTTAATTCTTATATGGTTTTCATTGTTTGGAAGTAATAAGGCAGCAATAGCATGATTCTTTGCCTCAATTTCAATTTGTAATTTGTCGACTTGCTTACGAAGAGCTATCATTTCAGCAGCAACTTCTTTTGAAATTTGGAGTGGACGAACACATTCTCCTGATTGAGATTTCTCATTTTCGAATTGCGATCGTAATTCTTTAGCTTTGAAAAGTTGTTCTTCCAAATCTTTTATGTTATTTTGTAATGTTTCAATACTTTTATCAAATTCTATACCGTTAATAACATTTTTCTTTTCAAGAGTAACCTGTAATGCATCACGAAGTTCTTGTATGTTTAATTCAATTTTTATTATTTCATAATCATTCATATGATAATCTTTTTCACGTTCAGCTACTAGATCTAATGCCTTTCTTTGTTCATTTCTAAGATTCTTAACTTCTTCACGAAGTCGATTTACAACTTCAAGTTCATCAAGTTCAGTGGTAGTAGAATGAGGACGATCTGATTTTACCATAGACATAACTTCCATTTGTGCTAAAGCATCACGTCTTTTAATCTCATTACGAAGTTCTTCGACAATTTCCAGATTCGCGCGGTGACTCATTTCAAGACGTGCAAATTCTTGTCTAACGGAATCCAATCCCGTTGTTTTGTCATTATGTAGAGACTCGAGTTGTCTAAGTTCCATTTGTAATCTTTGTACAGTGGCAAGATGTATACGATCATTTTTTTCACCACCTCCCATTGAATAAGAACGAGTTTTTCGAGGAACATTTTTTTCAGATGTAGTAAACGAGTTAAAATGATCTTTATCCAATTCATTAAAATGCATGGATGGGGGTAAAGACTGTCGTGCTGTGACTGGAGAACCCATAGGTCCCATGACACTAGAAGGTGACATCGGAGTTATAGGAGTTGAAGAAATGGATTTAAAATCATCCATCATTTCTGCATCAATCAACCTTGCTTCAGTAAGTTGAGTTTGTAATTCATGTATTTCATCTAGACATGCTTGATATTTTGCTTTAATTTGAGTAAACTCTATAACAGTCTTTTCATGAGTTTGTTGTAACTCGGATAATTTTATTTCAAGACTAGCAACGATTAAACGATCTTGTTCATCCTTTAAGGATAAGGCACCAGGTGCAATAGAAGATAATAATAATTTTTCTTCATCTGATGCTGAAGAAAAACCTGATATTACTCCTTGATGATGATGATTATTTGATTCCACTTCTTGTAATTTAATATTTTTTAATTTAAATAGTTCAGATGAAAGTTCATCAGCTTTTTGTTCAAGTAAAGCTATTCTACGATCACGATCGTTCAATTCATTTAATAATAATGTCTTATCTTGATCAGATTCTGCTTTATCAAACCTTTCCTTCAATTCAGTATAAGCGTTTTCTTTTTCTTTCAACTTATTTTCAAGCCTTTCAACCGTCTGATTAATTTCAATGAGCTGTTTTTCACTTTCCTCTAGACGTGCTTCAAGATCTTGTATGTAACCTTCGCTATTCATACTAGTTGATTTTAATTGAGAAATCTTACTTTTTAATTCATTTATTATCTTTTGATCATTATTATGTTCCTCAGCATGATTTAAAAGTTTTGATTCGAGATCTTTAATATAATTTTCACTGGTTGATTCACGTTCAGAAAGCTGAGCAATATTGTTCCTTAAATCATTAATTAAATTTTTATATTGATCATTAATTTGTTCAGTTTGTTCTAGTCTAGTATCTTGATCTTGTATCATTGTTTCTGTATGATTTAGTGCGGCACGTGTCAGAGCTAGTTGACTTTCTAGAGAAGATATTAATTTTTCATATTCTTCGATAACAGGTTCAACAGCATCTTGAAAACTATCAGATGCACGTTTAATTATATTATTATTTCTTTCAAAAGAAGTATTATTATCAAAATTTTCATCTGAATTGTCCTGATGCATTGCAAGTTCAGCAGAAGTTTTTGCATACTTTTGAGATAGTTCAGAATAAGAATGTTGTAAATGAATGAGTTGTTCTTCAAGCATTTCAAGTTCCGAATTACTTTTACCATCAACATCGGTTACTATTGTAACAGGCATTGGTTGAGTAGGTATTGATTGATTGTCAGGAAAAGTTTCGGGAGTATTATTAGATGTATTAGGAGTATTAAGAGTATTAGGAGTATTAGATGTATTAGATGGAATCGGAGTATTCCTTCCTGAACTATTGGAACTACTGCTTCTACTATTAGTACCATTTGTAGAATTAGCTCCGTTTGATGCTTTTAAAGCTTTTATCTCACTTCTTAATTTTAAAACTAAAGATTGTAAATGTTCTAAATCATTCCAACCACTTTCTTCCTGATTTATTGATATAGAATTTTTAATATTACGTGCTCTATTTGCATATTTTAAAGTATTTATTGTCTCATTTAAATTTGATTCAGAAGAAGATACGCATGCAATCATTAATGTCTTAGCGTTACCACCAAGAGAATCCTGTAATAAACGAGTAAGTTTTGAATCTCTATAGGGAACATGGGTTACGTGTTTAGCTTTATTTGGATCACCAAGTGCAGATATCACATTTCCCAAAGCTAGTAAACCACCATTAATTGATATGCCTTCTTTTGCACGTTCACCGACGGCAGACGTTCTTTTTAACTATGAATACAATAAAACAAATAAAGTTAAAATAATATATACTACTAGCACTGTATAATGAATATGGTATACTTACTCTCTCGCTACCAGCTAAATCAACAAAATGAAATTTACTCGTTACTGTAATCCAATCACCTTCATCAAATCTTCGACTCATTCTTAAATTCAAATTTGATGATGATCGAGCTATTTTTGAAGATTCAGATAATCTTGAAGGAGTTGCGGGTCTAGGCGGAGCTGAAGATGGTGTCATCGGAGATCCTACATATTTTTGTTGTGCCATGATGACTGAAAATATTGCGTGGGACCGAGAAGATTTAGAATTCATTTCTGTAGCACCAACTTGTCTATTCATAGAACCACGAGCTAAATGACTAATATAAATTCATTACACATTAAAATTTTGAAAAGAAGGAAAAAGAAGAGAAAGAAGGAAAAAAAGAAAAAAAGGGAAAGGAAGAAAGGAAATAAGAAATCCAAAAATATTTAAACTATTCACCTCATAACATCATCAACACCGTTTACGTTTATTTCTTGCAATCCGTTCCATAAAATATTACCCTTGGAATCTTCTCTGATTGTGACCTGTGATCGACTTTCCATATCGCCTTCACCAAGAAGATCAATTAAATCTTCGTTATATATCTCTATGAAAGAAACTTTTATAGAAAATTTTTGATTTTTGCATTGTAAAGAATTCATGCTTGAAAATAAAGTTTCCATTGCTCGGGGAATTATTCCTTTTGAATCTAAAGATATCGAAGAATTATCAGCTGTGCCCATCGTATGAGTTTTACCCGATGAAGTTTGACCATACGCCAAGATTGTTACATTATATCCTATAACGAAATTATCAAAATTATTATATAAAAGTTATTAAATAAGTATTCCGATCAGCTGATTATCACGTGAATAATCACAGGATCGGAAAATCATTATCGTTGCATAAAACAAAGATTTTTTTTTTCACGTAACAGTAACGATAAACATTGAAGATAAATAAAAATAAATATAAATATTTAGTACCTTCTAAAAAATTTTCAACTAATTTTACAATAGCACTTGTGTAAACTTCTTCTTGTGTTGATTCCGGGCCAAATACGTAATCATAACTAAATACTTGTTTCTTTTCACCTTGAACGATTATCGAATTCGGAATGGTGGGATTTGTTGTAATAACTTGACGCTGAAATCGTGTTGGTAAACAATTTACGTCATCATTTGTGAGCGGCTTTATTCGTAAAGCTAAGAAACATAAGGGAAGAGGAAGGATTATAGTAACATGTCTGTTAAACTTTTAATATATTTTTAAACACACTATACGAGTAATTTAATAAAGCTGATAACTTTGCGAACATATTCATCACATCAAGTACTAACTTTTATCGGTGAAATCAAAGACTTTTATAAAGATAAAAATTATGTACTTGATGCAAAATAATTTGTTTAGTTTGGTGCTTTGTTTTTTTTTTAGATCAAGATAAATCTTTTTATCGTCTCAAACACTAATCATCAAAGAAGAGAAAATTTTCGAATTTATTCTAGTTGTGCTAAAAAAAAGCTCTGATGAAACTCTAAGTGACTTATTTCTGATCAGAACACGCACAACATCATCCATCTTCCTTGAATATTACTATTCTATTTTCCATTGATTTAATCATTACTATGCCATAAATACCTACCAACTTGTACCGAAGTGCGTTCAGATCCTTTA